AATAAGTTCGTAAGGTTAAATGAGGCAAATAAACTTACAATTTTAGTGCTTAGACTAGAATTTTCTAACAAATTTACATTAAAATCGCCACAGGTAATGATGAATTTATTTGAACTACTGAGTTTATTTAACACTTCATCTATTACTGTTTCAAAACAGTCATAGAAACCAGAAGGTGGTCTATACACACTTAAAACAATAAACCGCTCTAATTCCACACAAGCTATTTCAACAGTACGTTCAACAGAAAAACTAACTATATCCTTGCGTTCTTTAAATTTAAGTTTGTTATTTATTAATATTAGTGAACCACCATGTATAGCGTTCTCCCTGCTGAACGAGCTACCTACCATACATAAATAAACCATTCACATTTAGGTACTTTAATTTTTTCTAAGTGTCATTACGCCCGCCTTTTTTCAACGTTCTTGATTTAATTATTCTTTTTGTGGATGCCATTAGAGCCAATTATAAGACAGAGGCCCATCACCTTTGATAAACCTGAATCTGAGTTTAAACTGGAGTAGATTATGGCAAACCCTCAAAATCAAACACCAATAAGGTATAGAGACGAGGTCCATAGTCTACCTGTGGATTATCACGTGCTGTTGGTGATAGAATACTTAATATAAAAGACCTGACTGCCTCATTGGCCCAGTGGTCGCAAGTGCGACTGCAAGAGGTCTCTGGTTCGATTCCCTTGTCGGGCAAGTATTACTGGGTTTTTAAAAAAAATCTCAATATTAGCACGGATTCTGGATATGTGCCCGGTATATGGCAATAGGCTCAATCCATATTACAAGGGACTTATAAAATAGTGAATAGTGGGTGTTACATTGTACAGTGGCATTAAGTGCCGCAATGTGCACTTCTGCCTATCCTTTCGGGGATAAAAGGTGTTAAGTTGTGTTATGTTATAAAAGATCTAACAATTGTTTTATATTATTATTTCAGATGTAGTATCAGTGATGAAGTTTGGACAATTAGGTCAGGAAGAACATGTACTCATCATTGTTACTGGAGGTAAGTGATGATCTTGAGATGCTGAGGTTTGATCCTTGGGTTGGGTAAAAAGCAATTCCAAAATAAGTTAGGTGAGGTAATAAATATAATATATATAACATCACGCCTTATTATCCCCGAAGGCGTAGGCAGAGTAAAAAATCATACACCAGACACAGTTTCAAATTCCGTGCAATTACTGAGATTTTTGTAATAAGCCGATAGGACCCCAAGAATACTTTGCCCGACCCGGGAGAGGAACGTGAGACACCTACTTGGGTATTGAACATGCGACAGCTCTTTTGAGTCAGTCTAAAAATTAGTGCCTAAAGTAACAATTTAATTAAATAAGTACTTAAATATTTTCAGGAGGTAATCTAATGCTGAAAATTTTGAAGCGTACGGCAGATTTCAGCGCGCACGCAGCCGGTGTAGAGATATCCCCGAGCGGTCCCACTGGACAGAAACCATGGCTCATACCTAAGAAGTCTAAACTGTTTCTAGAACAATCTGCTAGGGAGAGAGAAAATGCTGCTAGTAAGTTAATAATATTAATATCTTTTACTTATTAATATCTTTAACTTAAGGCTTACTTTTACTATTTGACTTTGTCATGATTTAAAAAATATGAACCTACTTAATTAAATAGCTGTATGCTTATTTTATGAAATAGTTAAACCTAGTTAAAGTCACCCAAAGTCTTGTTTTTGCACTTTCATATTTGCTAGATTTTAGATTTCTTTTGTTGTGTATTCTCAGTCAGTTTCTTTAATAATCATCATTTACTACCATCAAAGCTTTTTATCTAATTATTAGGGTTTAACTAAGCATTACTGCCTCGTTGACCGAGTGGTCGCAAGCGCGACTGCCGGGCAAGGCGTCTCGGGTTCGATTCCCGGGTTGGGCAAAGTATTATTGGGTTTAAAAAAAAGTCCCAGTAGTACCACGGAGTCTGGAATTGTGCCTGGTATATGGCCATATGCTCACCCCCTATTATATGGGACTCATAACATAAATAGTGAAAAGTGGGCTTTACATTGTACAGTGGCATAATGTGCACCTCTGCGCTTCCTTCGGGGATAAAAGGCGTAATGTTATGTTATGTAACTAAGCATTACTTGATCCAAATAAATATAACTGATGTTATTATTTATAGTGATGCACGACACGTTCCAACACGAGCTGAACAGACTGCGCCTGCTGGCCGCGCGGTCGTTGCTGGAGGCGCACGTGCGCTCCGACAACTCCGTCGGCACCGGGACCATGGAGGCCATGCGACTTACTGCTGAGGTCAACTAACTCACGTATCATCATCAACATGCTAGCGTTGTCCCGGTTGCTTATATTCGGGGCCCGGGGTTCACAGTCCTGGGCCTTTAGCCAAACGCCACTTTAGCGTTTGTCTATAAAAAGAGTAGAAATCAAAATGTATGAGGATGACACTGACAAGTGTCAAAATTTACGTCAGTTCCATATAATTTAGTTTTCTATTCTACATGTAGACAAGCGCTAAATGGCATTTGGCTACAGCTACTGGTTTTTTTCTTCTCACTTCACGCGGTCTTTCGCATGCTTTTTAATTGGCCGGTAGGACATCATTAGTCAGTAGGCATATGGCTTTGACGATATCGAATACAACGGGTCAATTACATCTATTGCTATCTCTTTCTATGAATCATTATCGGATGAAAACTGATAATCAACCTTTTTCTAATTTCTGTTTAGGTGGAAGGTCTAGGTCCAGTGTTCCGGGTGACGTTGATAATAGAGAACAACTCCAAAGAAAAGGCAGTGATCGGACTCGCCATACTATTCCACGTCCACACTATCAACTATAAGGTCTCCAATCCTTATATCAAGGTACACTTTTATAAAATTAATTTATTAAAAGGTCATGAAAACTATGGAACACAGCTTTTATCAATTCACCTACCTACATTTCATTTCTATAAAATTAGTTCTATAATAGTCATGACAGTGTATATACACTGGTATCAAACCACTTTTCTCAAAAGAAAATCATTCCTGCAGGTGCCCCTCCTCTCACCCGGTGGAAAACTAAAATTCCCAACGAAAATCGAAGAAGTGTTTGACGACAATATAAGCCCGGACGTTTTATTCCGCCCTGTGACTGGACAAGGAGGGGAACGATCTTTGATCAAAGTGCTCTTACTAAAGGAGGGCAGAAAAACTCCAGTACTTGCAGCTACAGTACAAATGCCACCCACAGATCCTATGATGTTACCTTTCGATAAAATGCAGACAATCGCTGGAATTGATTCCAATGATGACCCGAATTGGGCCCCAAAAACGTAAATTGCCATTTAACGCCATCTAGTGTCTAGTTATAATACTTATGATGTGTGGTAAAGCTAAGAGATGGCGTAGTAAAAGAGGTTATATTTGAAAAATATGTTTGTGATAAATGTGTACATAAAAATACTCTAAATAAAATTGATATTATTTTACTGTAGTCTTTTTTTAAGTTAAGTTAAAAGCGTTTAGTAGTTTGAAAGCGCAGTACTTAACTCATAACACCTTTAAAAATGGAAATAAACAAGCAAACACTGCGATCAAATAATAGTTTTACCGGTAATAACATTACACATAGCATGACGTGTAAAATAGATAATATTAGTGTAGATTGTTCAAGGATTATAGGTACACGATGATAACTAAGTACTTACAGTTATCAAAGTTAATGTTAGGGACATATCGACAAACATTTTGTGGGCCTTGTAGCATAATATTAGTGATAGCAATACATACCTTCTCTAAATGATCGCAGGTGTTTATAATCTGACTGATTCTATCTACCTACTTATTCACCTTGACCATTGGATAAAAGGTACCTTGATTGGTCCGATGATCTTGTGGAAGAATTTTGGCTTCAGTGACGGTCAACGCTATAGTCAAATCTTAATACCTATTACCAGTGGCAAAACTGTAGAGTGGCAAGTCAGCAAAATGCCACGGACCTCCAGCAGGAAGGGGCTGAAATTTAGAGGTTATCTGAACTTCTCTCTTTTGATAGGGAACGGGGGCCCATTCGATGAATTTGCCACGGATCCCGAACAGTATATATAGATACGCCACTACTTACTTATTACTTGGCTATTACTTCTGCCATCAAATAAATTGCCCCGAACATAATTTTTTGCTCTTATGAGTCTGACGGTCAATTCTGTCGTTCTCGACGTGGCGCTACGAACCGCTCCAAAGAAGTAAGCAGATCTGCATCAGAGCTGTTAAACAGGTACCTATCAGGTTTAATACAGGCTATAAGAGCTCTGTAATTTCTAAACTAGACCAGAACAATTTCATTTTAGACTGTAATGTGTAAATTATATACTATACTAGCGAAATACATGTACATTGTAACCGCCCCAGCTTCGCACGGGTGCAATATACCTACATGTGTATTACATATAGCCTTCCTTAAGAATCACTCTATTGATAAAAAAAACCGCATAAAAATCCGTTGCGTAATTTTAAAGGTCTAAGCTTACATAGGGACAGACAGACGGCGGATAGCGATTTTGTTTTATAGTATGTAGTGAAGTGGATACGGAAGAAAATTAGAGGCATGATTTTCTTTCTTGAAACATTTTTGTCGGCGAGACTGCAAACATTTTTCGTTGCAGGTACAGCTTATCATTTCAACTTAGACGACCTCTGAGGCAAGTTGGTAAGTAGGTATAAGAATGACCTTTATAAAGGACAAGGACATCATCAGTTATGCATAATCAGTCTCATATCTAAAGTCAGGAACAGAATATGTTCGATAAAGAGCCGAATAAAACCGTCTTATCTATGTAACTACTGTGTAATGGACGGTACGACGTAATATGTATGCCTGGGTATTAACTGTTCCAATATCTCCTTTGTACACAATCTTCAAGTTGATTTCGATTATGACATCCAATCGTATTAGGATTATACAACTACGCAGTGTTCAGGATACATGAGGATGTAGGTAACTATACTCGGAATTTTAATTCGATTCCACATTTGACAATTTCAGTGTTGCAACGTTATAACAAGTACTAAATAGTGACGTTGCAAAATTATTCGATATGGAAATGCAATATTTCTGGATCGATTCTTCTTGTTTATAATTTTACTCTTGTAAACTAAGTATATCAGGAAATTAAATATTTCTGAACCGATCATTTAGTTTTGACGATTAATTAACGATCTGAGACTTTTCCTTTATAATTGTGTGTGAAATAAATAAAAAAATGTAATCATAAAGGAACATGACAAATAAAACAGATAGATGTATTATGATAATAAGTTATTTTATAAATTTTCGCCGTCATCGCTGTCGCTATCCTGTCCCTTTCTGTAAAACATTTATTATAAAACACACACACTGATTGTTTATCGATTTTTGTGTTCATCACTACACTATTATATGTGGTATCATTATTTCACAAAATGACAGTAGCTATTGTCAAATCTGGAATCTAATTAAAATTCTGACTATAGGTACTAAATTAAGCATGACTACATTATTCGCGACCGCGCACGCTGCTCATGTGGAAGAACCCCTCTGTGTTCGAAACTAGTAGAGCTTTTCTCAGTATATTTTACGTGAGTAACCTGCGGTTAAACAGAAAGCTCTATACAGAGGTGTTGAAGGAGCGTAGATAGGCCTTTGCCCTGCAGTGGGGTGATCATGACAGAAACGCAATTACCAAAGCAATGTGACAACTCGATGGATTGGAGACCACGACTTACATTGATGATCCACTACAAATCCTTTGTTTGAGGATCTGCCAGATCTCCATCCAGCGGCTGAGCCTGTCTGCCTGGCCTGTGATTATTTAGAAAACTAACGTATTACGTAATGCATACCTATTTTCAAGGTTTTCATACATAGTATTGAAGAGGCCTTTGTCCAACAGTGGATGCACACGGGCTGATGATAAAGCCTAAATTAGAATAATACCGTCATATTGTTCTATGCTTAGTAGATAGTTTATGAGCTGTTTCACAAGCCTTACCTACGCACCTATCTATTTCAAGAATTGGTGACGTGCATTAGTAGGTGTATAATATTAGTAATGCATCGAAAGAGATAAATCGCTAACTAAGTAGGTACCTTATCGGATATGATAAGGATTCCTTAATAAAAATATTAACAGCGATTCGAATTTTATAGCAGTTTTTCCCTAATTATGAAGTCATCCTGCGTTTCAATAGAACCTCTATCGTTTAAACTGCAATTGATATTGTCTAATTTTAGAACGTATGTCTCAATCTACTCAATCAGAATTGAAGCTTCATTTAGAACTAGCGATCAATCCCTGTTTCCAGCAGTTACTAAATGCTACATATCATCATCTTCTAATCAAAACCTTTCCGATTTATGACCGATTTTTTCAACGCCAGATAAAAACTGCTTTTGTTTTGTTTCTTTTTTCCTTTTTTTAAATAAAAAGCCTTGCCCCGCACTAGGATTATCTCCTGTGTCGTGGGTGCGTTTACAAACATACAAGTGCACATACACATGACACCCAGACCAGAAACAACAATTTGTGGATCACACGAAGTGCTGTTGCCTGCACGGTTGGTGCCACAGAAATATTAAAAAATATAAATGAAATATTAAATCTTTAATATATCTGTGGTTGGTGCGGTGGCTGGGCTGGGCAGACACACATGCAGGCAAACTGAGGAATAACTTTGAATACCTATTTAACAATTCTTCCATGCTAAAAACTGACAAATGTGAATTTTATTCTAGGTACTGTTAAGAATTAATTAATGATTGAAAGATTTGCCTTTAAGGCCAATTGTTTAATTTATCTGGTGTCGGAAAAATCGGCTCTTAGTAGGTTAATTGTAGTGTGTGTGGTCGTGCTTGTGACGATACCAATGCGATCAACATAGAACCTAATATAACATGAATAATTTAATAAGTTTCTTTGCCAGAGTCTGTATTTCCTGAAGTGTATAACCTGGGAGTCTTCAAGGCCCGAGTGAATAGGTTGCTTATGGGACGACGTGCTCCAACGTAGACCGCATCATCGCTTACCATCAGGTGAGATAGTGGTCAAACGTCGCCCCATCAATTATAAAAAAAAAAAAAAAAAAAACAAATCTTAACCAGGATATCCTGAACATCAAAATTAAGCATAATCATTTGAATTCCCAATAAATAGGAATTTACCAAAAGTCGGTTTTAGTACGCCTCGAGTGATTAGCACTTCGATAGGTATCTACTTGTACGAGTATGAATTTCAAGAGAAAAAAAAAATTATTAGGTAATCAAGAGAATTGACGTAAATCATAACCGGTTTAGGTATTAGATTTTGGTTGTAAAAACTAAAAACCTGTTTACTGACACCACGTTCAAAGTAAGTCATCGCACGGAGTATCTAATGTTAGAAATATTCAGGCAATGGTTGAGTATGACTTAAGAATGTTATGTATTGTTTGTTTAGTGTTCTGCGTTGGAGCCATTTTGTCCTCTTTTCCACTTTCTTTGCAAGTGCCCTAAAAATATAAGTACACGATGTGTTTGTCTAACCGGCCGGACTAAAAATTTGGCGACCTTATTTTATGGAGTCGGGACTTTGTTATCACTGGCTTTAACACGTAATCGGAGCTTCAACTTGAAGATAATCGGGGCTCCGACTTGTAATTTATCGATTAAGTCTGAAATAACTACGATCAATGATAAGTAATACTATGTGCGTTGTTCGATAAGTCGACGGCGACGCCGGCCGGCTGATTACAAATTTTACTTAAAGGATTACGAATACAGCTAATTATTATTGGCTTAAAATGGGCGTTTGTATCCTTTTTTTACCTAAACAGTGATTAGCTTATACCATAAGCTACTGGGATCTTCGGAGTCGCGGAGAACCTAACGGGTAACCGGGGCTCCGGCTCGACGTGCAGGAGAAGGAACGGGGTGGTTTTTAGTCAGTACGAGTCTGACACTCCCTCCCGCCTCACCCAGGCGGGAGCAGTCATTCGATGATTTTCCCCCCTTAAAAAAAAAAGCTACTGGGATTTTAAGAGCCAGTGGCATAGCTAGCATGCATAGCTGGCACCCGGGGCGGATTTTGTAGGTGTCATCCTAAAACTAAATCGAAACTTTTAAAACAAAAGTAACAATCATTTACGTTTTATTAAAATATGAGCATTACAAATATTTTTATACTAGCTACTACCGCGCGGTTTCATTCGCTCTGCTCGGCGCCTATTAATCGTAGCGTGATATTTTATAGCCTATAGCCTTCCTCGATAAATGGGCTATCCAACACAGAAAGAATTTTTCAAATCAGACCAGTAGTTTCGGAGATTAGCGTGTTCAAACAAACAAACAAACTCTTCAGCTTTATAATATTCAAAATTAAAATTTCGGCCTCCTAACTTTGACACTTGCGAACTCCAAAAAAGTTGTGCCTAAA